TGGCCGTGCCACCCCCGGGGGCTGTCCCCCCTGCCCTGCACCTCAATCCTGCCTTCTTCCCCCCACCCAACGCGGCCCTGGGTCCTCCACCGGACACCTACGGCAAGGCCATGGCCCCCTACAACCACAGCAGGTGAGATGGGGCAGAAGGGAGGGTGGGGGTACCAAATTTTAGGGGGGTGGGGGGAGCTCCGCTGACCCCCCCACCTGTGCCTTCTACGCAGCCGGGAGCTCGGCCCACCACCTCCCCCTGTGAGCGAAGTGGAGTTTGAGGAGATCATGAACAGGAACCGGGCGATTTCCAGCAGCGCTATTTCCAAGGCAGTGTCCGGTGCCAGCGCAGGTAACGACGACCGTGTCCCCGCGCCCCTCGTGTGTGTCCCCCGCCCCCCGCCGTCCTGCGGCAGATCCGCATCCCTCAGCGCTGTTCCCTTCCGCCAGGCGATTACAGCGACGCCATCGAGACCCTCCTCACGGCCATCGCCGTCATCAAACAGTCCCGCGTCGCCAATGACGAGCGCTGCCGCGTCCTCCTCTCGTCCCTCAAAGACTGTCTGCACGGCATCGAAGCCAAATCCTACAGCACGAGCGCCAGCAGCAGCTCCTCCAGGTACCGACTGTTCTGGAGCTTGGAGCCGCGTGGGGGTGGCTTCGTTGCAGCCCATCTTGAAGCTTTGCTCACCATTTCTGTCCCCACCCCACCGAGATCCTCCCCGGAGGCGACCAAAAGCTTTTTCTTCTTCTTTTCTCTAGGAAAAGACACCGATCTCGGGAGCGCTCTCCCAGCCGGTCCCGCGAAAGCAGCCGGCGACACCGGGACCTTCTCCACAGCGAGGATCGGCACGAGGACTATTTCCAGGAGCGGAACCGGGAGCATGAGCGACATCGGGACAGGGACAGAGAGAGGGACCGGCACCACTGAGACAGGTGAGCCGGTGCCGGGGCGCTGCCGTGCGTGGAGTCTTGGGTGGTCCCTCTCGAGGAGCGAGGGCTGAGGTGGTGGGAAGGGTGCTTAGCGCTGCTCTTGACCTCTCCTCCCGTCTCTCCCCGCAGGAGTTCGACAGTAAGTGGTTTTTAATGGACTCGTATCTCCTCACCTCAACCAGGACTACATGACCGAGGCCGCT